ATGGAATTGTGGTAAATTTTTGTTTCCTGCTTTCCACTCTCACAAAAAAAGGTTATACTATAAAATGACTTAGGTGTAAATACTCGCTTTTTCCCAATGTTTGGTGAGATTTTTTCACTGTTCGAAAAATTCTGTTCGCGTAATTATGCAAAAACACGCTGAAAATCAAAAATTATATATATTTGCAAAGTCGCGCGCAAAGATCAAACTATATATTCGAAAACTACATAAAAACCTTTAAAACATTCGCCTAATTTCAAGACCTGACGGACTGGTACTCACACTTTTTTTACTAATAATCTTTAGCATCTACATATCATAGTAAATTTTTTGGTAAGAAAATAGGAAAGTACCAATAAATGATAAATACCTTCACCTGAATATTCCACGACATTTAAACAATTGATTATAGTTGAAAAAGAACCACTTTCTTTAATGGGTTAATCGCCAAAGGCAACTAAACTGATTAGTCGGTATGGCGCAAATTCCCGTATTTTTTTGGAAATTTATCGTTCTTGAAGAAGAGGGGGGAGTAAATAATATAAAATTTGGTATTTATGAATTTTACTTTTCCCTCTCTAAGCCCAACTGGTTTTTTTATCAACTGTCACCATGATCATACGAATACTCCCCATTGCTCCCTATGCTTCTGTGTATAAGCACGTAATTTTGTATACTCCCTTTAACATTGTATGTCCTAGGAGGGAGAGTAATCCCTTTTCCCTCCTAAACAAGCAATCGGGAACCACACACGTAAATGGCATTCCACAAAGCTCCTAAGAAAGCAATACGGTAGTACTCACAGAATAACCTCCCAGAAAGCTCCCAAAAAGACAAAAAGGGAGTGCACAAAGAAAAACATCCCACATTCCTCCCAAACGAGCAATACGGGAGTACTCCCATAAGAGTCATCCCGCAAACCTCCTTTACGAGTAATAAAAGGTTTCTATACTCCCCAATTCCTCTTCATGGAGTAGTAGGAGAGTACTCCCTAATTGCTCCTTAATGATCCATTACATAAGCTAAAAAGATTTTGCTATTTACGCAATCCATTTATTTAATTTTTTTATCGCATGCGCACATTAATACAATAATAAACAGATAAAACATGCAAAATAATGTTTACTAAGTAACAGTACAGAAAAATTTATGAAAGCTAAAGATTTTAAACTTAAAACGGTACGATGAAGGTATGTTTGGGATTGGCATTCACCTGGGAGTCCACAGAAACAAAGCGCATCAAAGTGTTAGCAACTTCCGGACGTTTCAGCAGGTATCAGAGAATTCTGATTTTCACATACAGACTAGGCGATTTATCAAATGCCGTTTTTTTTTTTATAAATATCATGCCAGACGAAACTAAAACTAATACTTGAAGGTATTTGCGTACTCAGAACTCACCATCCCTTAATGGCAAAGGCTCTTAATCGCAATGGATTTCGAACCCAATAAAAGTTCTGGACTAAACAGGGTAAGAAACGTAAGAACGTGATCATTTTAAGCGCTGACACAGCCATCTGAAATGCAGTCTCAGTTAAATAATGAAATAATTAATAAGTTTAAACAAATTTTGCCATACATACCGATGGACCTTAATGTGGGCTGCCCAATTTATTTTATTATTTCCTCGTTTTATTTTTCAATAACAATTATGTATGTACATTAGCGTGGGCCGAAAATCCGCTTTTTTAGAATTTTGATTGGTAATAGAAAATATATGGTTCATTATGCTTTAAGAAAAAGCTGTGTGAAATTTGGAATTTTTCGGTCAATATCCAAGGCTCTCCCAAGTCCATCAAAGTTCAATATGCTCAACAAATAAAAATTAATAAATTAATTAATTAACACATTTTTTACTAAAATTGCGATAATCTTCGAAAGTACTACTCCTACACAATTTGGTATATGGACCCTTTTTGTGGAGAATCGAAGTTAGCTGAGAAAAAAATTTTTTAGTACTTCAACTTTAGTCGACTTGGGCGAGCCTAGGATATTGACCAAAAATTTTCACATTTCGGCCCACGCTAATGTACATATATGCGTATAAGTTACATATCTGTCTTGTTTTCTTCATAATACATTTTTAAAAAAACACAAAATGGTTTTCAACCATGATTCAATAACACAAGGTTAAGAAATTTGTGACAGCTAAAATTTGACACTCCTTTATATAGATTTGTGTTTTGGAAGTAGGAGAAAGGGGAAGAATGTGATCGCCTTTTGCGAAAATGGTAGTAGAAAGATACTAAGAAAGTGCGCAAAGTATACAATTAGAAGTAAAATGTGTATTATTAATTATATGTGAATTTGCAATATATTTGGTGTTTTAATAGAAATACTAAGCAATACGTAAAAATATAGATTTTTAGTTTAAGTTATTCGTCATGTCCTGGAACAAATCTAGAATACCGACCGTTCGGCTATGCAAAAACAAAAAACGCAGATCAATAGAACTTTTACGCTCATTTCAACCATGCCAAAATTATTTAGCGCAAGTAAAATATAAAGACGTTTTAGAAGGTTACAATTAAATTCTTTGATTTTTTTTAATATTAATATCTTATGAACCACATAACCGATTAAAAAACTAATAACATCACCATAAAGATAATCAACTTATCTTTCAGCTGATATATATAATTGAAATTGGTTTTTATATATTTAAACCAAAACCACTAAAAAACGAACATATCTTATTTTTTAATGAAATAACCTTTTCTGAAAAAGACTGCATGATTAATAGTAATGAAATTTGTATTATTTAGAAAGTACAAGCTATTATTTTTAATTCGATATACATATTTTATAATGATCTACTTTTGGGTTTTAAGAATTAAGTGATGATAAAAAAATAAGTAAACAAAACAAATAAACCTCTTTATCTTCTTTGTTTTTTACCTGCGTCAAATAAATTTGGTATCGTTGAAATCAGCGTAAAAAGTTCTATCAATCGGCACTTTTGGTTATTTTATAGCTAAACGGTCGCTATTCTAGACTTGCTCCAGAAATTTACGCATACGAAGATGATGACAACGCATATTTAGTATGAAGAAATTTTGGTTTTACTACTAATATAATTAGAAACTATAGAGTGAGCAACATTCTGCACAAGTAAAGGAGCCGATTTTATGTATGGGAGCGAGAAGACTGTTTTATTACAAACCATTTCTATTATTGAATCATGGTTTTGAACGAGGTGCGTATAGCTCCCCTATCGATCAAAAGGAATACTCATGGATTGCTCGCTTAGGAGATATCGCTTTTTGCTCCTAAGCGAGTAATAACGGAGTACAAAATCGACAAATATTGCTTATTGTTCTGAAATCATGTCTCTGGGAGCATTCTTTTTTTGCTCACTTAGGAGATATCCTATTTGACTCCTAAACGAGTTACAAACGAGGTCAAAACCGACAAATCTCTCATATTGCTCCGAAATCAGGTCAAAGGGAGTACTCTTTTATTCCTCACATTGGGAGATCTTCCTTCAAGTTATAGTGGGAAGGAACCTTTTCTATTGAAAAAAAAATCTTTCTCCAAAGATTTTACTAAAGCGACGTGAGTTCCATCAATTACACCTGGGATTCCAAATGTTTCCACAAAATGTAATTTGTATTTCCTCAAATCCTCCGCCGATCTGTTCAACTTAATCCACTTAGAACACAGCACGATTTCTAAAGCATTGATAATTTCTGACAATATTTTAGAAACTGTGCGCCTACCCAAAGCAATGTCTGTATCCTTGCCGACAACGTAGGAATTAGCCTTCTGCGAGGAATCGAAGGCATCCTGCTAGCTTGATAAGTAACGGAATAGATATTTCCTGGACAAATGGAGTTATCTCGTTCAATACTGCTCATACGATAGTTCGCAATAAATCTACAGGCAGTTAAATATTAAAGATGCATAATCCTTCAACGTTTGTTCAAAACTTACATTGAATCAGGCGCACTCTCATTTGATAACGTTGCTCCAGGAATACAAAAACAAAAAAAGTTTCTGCATATTGAACCTAACCTCTATACCCCTATGCTATTCGACTCGCTGAACTCGAGTCCGAGGTCGGTTAACCTCCGTAATGTCAGGTTCGAGGTCATTTGAGGGTCAAATATGAAAAAAAAAATTATTTAATAAAAATACAAATTCATATACATAGGTTTTTGTTGCCGCTGAATCCGAATATGGGGGTCGAGGTCATGCCAAGGTCATCTCAAGGTAAAATTCAGAAGAATAGTATGGAGTTTTCATGTTTATTCAATGCATTTTCCCTACTACACCTTCAAATGACCTCGAACCTAACATTACTATCAGACCTCGGATTCGCATTCAGCGCGTCGAATAACATAGGGATATAGAGGTGCGGTTCAATCTGCAGAAACTTTTTTTTGTAAACCTGTGGAATTTACGAACTTTTACAATGAAGTTTAAGCTGGTTGATGAAAAAACAGTTGCCGCAGCTTTTGAAAATTAATACGAAAGAATACAGCCACATCTATATATCTATCTATATATATAATACGCGAAGGGACTTTTTGTGCAGCATAAAAGATCTGGGGGTCAATTCTCGTTCTGTGATAAGATGAAGTAAAAAAAAAGTTTTCATTTTCGTATTCACAACTACTTTTCACTCTGCCTTTTCACAGACACTTATTTTGCGATTCTGGTTTGTGCTGTGAAAATCGTGTTCCATTACCACTATAGTCGTGAAACTTTTGCAACTGTGCTATTGAATTTTCGAAGTAAATGTCAAAGTTGAGGAAAACGTAAACAAAACATGCCGGGAATAATTATTTTATTAGAATTATCGCAAAGAATTCGAGACGAACAAAGGTAATAAAGGTGTAAATTTTTTAAATGCAGTATATACAATTTAACGCATTATGTATTTCACAGATAATTTGAGAGTGCTCCGGCGCAGACTTCGCGACGACCAAAATCCCTTTGAGATTACAACAGACGAGCATTTCATTGATTTATATGTATATTGATTTATATATATAATATGTGATGCTGATTATATCGTTTTGTCTGCTAGCGCTCGGTTCGGAGGTACTGCTCATGACTCATATGTATGGCGTCGCTCTCGAGCTTGCAGAGCTCTGGAGGAGCTTTTTGAGGCGGGTGAGCGCGATTTTTGGCTTCTGGGTGATAGTGGCTATCCACTACAGGTACAATTTATATTATTTTTCTTTGTTTAAGATCTAATGCTAATATAAATTTTAAATTAGCCTTGGCTGATGACACCAATTAGTGCGACATCATGTACCGCAGAAGAGCGCTACAATATAGCACACAAGTCAACTCGAGCTCTTGTAGAAAGATGCATTGGCTTACTAAAAAGCAGATTTCGCTGTCTGTCGAAGGAAAGAGCCCTTTTCTACAGTCCACCAAAAGCAGGCCTCATAATCAACGCTTGCCTGGTTTTACACAACTACTTGATTCGGGCTAGAGTGCCGTTCGATGAAATTTATTTGGAAGACTCTGATGCACCTGAAGAATGTGGTGGCCCTTCTTCAGCTATTTCAACACAGAATATATTATCCATTGCGAAAAGACAACGATTGCAAATTGTTCAAAATGCTTTTACTAATAACATTCAAAATTAGATTGAAAATAATTCAACTTTTTATTTTACATTCGTATTTTTACTTATTTACATATATTAATAAATATGCATATGTATATTATATTTCAAATGTTAAATTCTTTTTAAAGGCAGTTTTTATCACAAAAAGTTTTGTTCATAAATTCATTGCAATGAGGACCTNCCAAATTCCTTTTAAAGGCAGTTTTTATCACAAAAAGTTTTGTTCATAAATTCATTGCAATGACGACCTCATATTTTCTTAAAGACTAAAAAATAAAAAATAAAAATCGAATTCTTTCATATTCGATATCTCTTATTAGGCTCCAGAAGAAATATAAAAATACACACATAGATTGCTATATTTCCAAGATAAGTATTTTTAAATGCAGTTTTTATCACAAGTCAGTTTTGTACATAAATTCTTTAAACAGAGAAATTCATATATTTTTAAAAGCTAAAAAAAAATCATATTTTCATAGACTCTAGAAAAAATAAAAATAGAATCGACTCCATATTTTCCTAAACTCTAAAAAAGTTTAAAANCATAGATTGCTATATTTCCAAGATAAGTATTTTTAAATGCAGTTTTTATCACAAGTCAGTTTTGTACATAAATTCTTTAAACAGAGAAATTCATATATTTTTAAAAGCTAAAAAAAAATCATATTTTCATAGACTCTAGAAAAAATAAAAATAGAATCGACTTCATATTTTCCTAAACTCTAAAAAAGTTTAAAAAGAAAAACGACTTCATGTTTTCTTAAATTCTAAATATTAAAAGTAAAACCGACTTCATATTTTCTTAAACTCTAAAAATACTAAGAATAACAAGTAAGAAAGTCTAAGTTCGGGCGGAGCCGAACATTAAATACCCGGCGCAAGTATTAAATATATGTTTTCCACCTTTCCGAAAGCTACCGCTACATGATAAGCCGGGGTGTANCAAACAACCGTTATGTGAACAAAGTTATAATACCCTTATGCACAAGTGCGCTCGGGTATAAAAAGGACTTCAAGTTTTCTTAAGCATTAGGAAAAGGTATAATAAAAATTGTCTAATACTTATGGACAAGGCTGTTTCTAAAATTAAAACATTCTCACGGCCGCCTCAAAATTTCAATTAAATGTTGTAGTTTTTCTACAATACATTCTTTTGCGTGCCCACTATAATTGGCTCTGTCCTCTCCTTCACCGCTTGGATCTGCACGATCTCCATTTGCCTTACCTTGATTTCCTCTAGCCTAAACAATTTTTCTAATTGAGGGTTTTCTGCTTGCGCCTTTCTTTTTCGTCCTCTCGAACGGGCTGCTGCTGTGCTGCCTCTTATTGCTGCAGCAGTTGAGGTGCTCGCCCCTATCATTGGACACGTAGTGGCATCTTCCAATGTGGTTGCGGCTGCAGTACCATCTAACTCGCATTCAGCCACAACAACTTCGAATGTCTCCTCCACAATGTCAGCGAGATTGTGAGAAGCTTCTGCCATGTCGAGTGCTTCAAAGCCCACTTCGCCCGTTTCATCACCATCGACTGCCTGCACAGTTGTAATCTTAATTATGCGCTCTTCCAGCGGTGACAGTGCTTTGGCCCGGCTCAAACCGTTTATACCACTTATCTGCTCTGCCTGCCTTATCGCACTATATTTTGTGCGAGTATGAAGTCTGTTTGTAGGTATTAAAACAAAACATTAAAAAAATAATCACATCATGAAAAATTTATATACATACTTTAAATCGCTCCAATACTTCTTCCATTCTGCACCATCCTTATGAGTGCCGCCAAGAGCATTAAGGCTCACCGCTAGTTCTTTCCACTTTTCTTCGCGAAATTTGGCACCATCTGCCGTCACAAATCTATAATTATAAATAATTGGTATTCGTTTGTTTATGTTAAAAAGGCTTCATACTTATCGTTTGCAATGTCTACATTGTCTTCTAGATAATTTATTAAAAACTCTTTTTGGTTTTCGCTGGCGCGCTTTCCTCTTGGTATCTTCTCCATCTTGTTTTCACGTATAAATAGGCTGTGTACAATTTTTTTACATATGATAAGTTTTTGACAGTTGGTTGCACTGTTTCACAGAACGAGAATCGTCAGGGTTGTGAAAAAGTGAAAAGTTTCGTTTCGTTCCACTTTTTTTTCATGTGAAAACACTTTGACGTTTCTTTTCATTTTTTCACTGAAAGCGAATCGGAAGTGCAATGAAAACGCGAAAAAAGTTTTCATTTCACCGTTTCACAGAACGAGAATTGACCCCC